GATCAGATCAGATCAGATCAGATCAGTTGTTTGAGCATTTCCATACGCACTCCTTAAGGCATTCCCAATTATACAAATATGTAGCGAAATTTCTAGTCAACTTCTTGCCCACTCACACACAAGCACACACACATAGACACAGAGCACCCAGCACCCAGCATGATCCCATGGTCATCCACTCACGATGATATGCCATAAGCCACATTCCGTTCGAATAATTTCGAACCTCTTTCGAAGTTGAAGATTCGCTCATCCCCAAGAGAACTCAAAAAGTAGTTTTCAATTAGCAGTAGGCGATATGTTGAGGACCTTTTCTTGGTCGTAACGAATTTTTGTTGTCAATATTGATGAATATGTAAATACCTAGCATACTATACTACATTATATTGGAATAGTGCAATTATCGGGTTTAGTTTTCGTTTGTTTATTGGCGCAGTAATTATTACCTCAGTGTCGCAGTTTGCATAGATAGATAGTTAGGTTGGGCCACAGACATACGGAATGGAATATAAATACAAATATTGTTATATTTTTGATTGATGTTGGTCCTTAATCATATAAGATTTTCTTTCCACCCAAGCACACCCACACTTAACCCACACACACACACACACACACGCACAGAAATAGAAATACAAACACATACATATATACACATATAAATAATTACAAGACATTTAACATAATCTGATGCAAATATTCCAGGTCCGAACGGTCGTAGTTTAGTTGAAATTCAACATGCTTCTGGCGCAAATGTGCAAATTTCCAAAAAAGGCATATTCGCACCTGGCACTAGAAATCGCATTGTAACCATAACTGGTCAGCCGAGTGCCATTGCCAAAGCGCAGTATCTAATTGAACAAAAAATTAACGAGGAGGAGACAAAGAGGGCGCGTCAAATTCCATTAACCACTGTTGTGAATTAATAATCAAGCAATCAAGCAACCAGCACAACAACAAAAAACAACAACAGCTATCCCCCCATATAAAACATACATATAAACAAAACGTATTTCCTCAAAAGAAAAAGAAAAGAAAAGCATAAACATAAATTAACAAAAGAGAAATGGTTCATTTATTTAAACAAAGAAAAGCGAAAAGCAAAATACAATATGCAAATGAAAAACTAAAGGAAAAAATACAAAGCTAATACAATAACAATAATAATAATAATAATAATATGAAACAAAAAGCTAATTTAAAACAAATAACATCAGCAGTAGCCATAAAAACACACATACACAAACACACACCAACACACACACACACACACACACACACACGCACACACTAAGCCATTATCAAAAGGCATTAGCAATGCATTGAAACTTCTGATGAGAATCGCTTAATGAAATAATGAATTCGAAGCCTTAGCAAATTTGATTTGAGAGAGAACCTTGTAATATAGAAGCTGCATTTGTTTGCCACGCTCAATATGTGCATATGTACATATGTATATACATGTATGTACATGTATATATTTTTTAAATTGATCAATACCTTTGGGATGATAATACCTTTGCTTATTTTTTGTTGTTGTCATATGTTGCGTGTTTTTCTTTTGGCATTCTGAGAAGCTAAAAACTAGATACACACACATATATATATTTACATATACATATATATTTATATGCATATATGTACATGTATGCAATTCATATACTAATTGTTGGCTCGTCTTCATATAACAAAACACACACACACACACACACACACACACACACACACACACATGTAAACACAGTCCAAGCGAGTAAATTAGACTAAAAAAAAAAGAAAATGAAAATGAAAATCGATATGTTTGTGTAATGAGAGCGTTTTCAGTGAAAACATCAGGTGATTTTCCAAAAGAAAAAGAAAACAAAAATGACAAAAAAGAAAATGGTGTCCAAATAAGGTAAATATTTTACTACACGAACACAGATACACATACACAGTCACACACACACACACACACACACACACACACACAGACATGTATATGCGCTATGAAATATATGTACAATAAATACACCTACAACAATTGAAATGATAAAAGAAATGAACGCTTGACAGGCTAGTGATAATAACTATTTGAAACACTTTTTACCTCAAACACGATTCTGATTGCGTTTCTTGTTTTCTGTTTCTGTTTCTGTTTTCTGTTGTTGCCCTTTTGTGCTTATTGCTATGTTTGTTTAAAATATGTATATATATATTTCTATCACTAAATATATCTATATATATATATACATATACATGTCTATATCTGTATATATATATATGTACACACACACATATGTTTATATAAAATAATACGTTTTAGCCCTTAATATTCTATTATGATATACATATATTGTTAAAGATGTTGATCATGATAATGTTGTTTAATTTAATCGAAAGAGTGGTACGAACCATACCAAAATATATACAAGTGGTGTTAATGTTTTGCGCGCGCACGTGAGTCTCCTTTTTGATATTGATTTTATGCTCCTTTATGCTAATTTGTTAATCCTCATACTGATATAATTTAAATGTCTGTGCGACTTTTTAGTTCCAGTTTCGACTGGATCCCTTGATTTCCATATATATATTTTTTTTCTTCATAACTTGTTTTTTTTTTTTATTGCCTTTATATTGTTTTGGCCCGATAGAGAGAAAGAAATCCGTTTGGCACATTGTTACATTCACCATGATTCTTATCTATTATATTTTGTTTTTGGAATTCTGTTCACCATGATTTTTGACATACATTCTAATCTTAAGTTTTACATTTGCTCTTCCTCACCCCAAACGAAAATACATCACAATTTTAACTTTAATTTAAAATAATTATTTCAATGGCTCTGTAAAAAAAGAACACATCTACACACACAAATCGGCCAAAAATATCCCGTTGTAATTTATATGCTAGACAAGCGAACGAAAATAATTATTTTGGCATCACACTTCGATTTTTTTATATTCATTAAAACACACCCATATGATTTACCTGTAAAGATAATGATAAAGACATATACATATATATATATTGTTTTATTATGGCCGCATACTCCTACACACACCCACACATACACACACATATTATGTAGTTTAAAGCTCCCTTTTATTATTGACTAATTAAGAGATGGAGAAAAAAGCAAAAATTAAATAAAAATATTGCCAAAAACGAAATAAACCAAAATCTCAATGTGTTTAATTGAACAGCCATATTATTCACCACAACTGAAACCAAACCACTCACAAACCACCAGCACCACCACCACAACAACTCCACTAACAGCGTACTCTAAACAATTCTGCAACATTATCATGTCAATCAACAGTCAGTCAGTCAGTCAGTCAATCAAACTCTCAGTTCAATTTCAAAACAATCACTGAAAACGCTCAAAAAAATAAATGAATAAAAAAAAAAGCTAATGAATTATAAACCCAACTCTAAGCTAAGTTTATGCAATTAAGTTGAAAAGTTGTTCACATTATTTTATTTTTATTTTTTGCTATTATTGTTAAAGCTTATCTACATTTATTCTTATTTGTGCAATATTTATATAAATAATATAAGAATAATAATAATAAATTTGCGCCAGACGAAGAGTTAAATAGTTACAAATGTTCTAAACAACAAGAAAATGCAAATGCAAACAAAAACCCAAATCGTGACAAACATATAAAACGCTTTAATAAGCATTGACACATGAAACACAAATCTGAAGTCAAGTGAAAACAAAAGAATATAATTTTGAAAGTACAGTCGAAAATGCTAGTGTGCCTTGAAACATGCAAAAGAAGAAAAAAAAAAAAAAAAAAAAAAAAAATATATAAAAAAAATGAGTAAAAAAAAAAAAAAAAAAAAAAAAAAAAAAAAAAAATTATATAAAAAATATGAGTATAAAAACAACCAAATGATAAACGAAAAAAAGAAAACATTCTTTTGTTTGTTATCTTATAATGTATAATTACAGTTTTACATAACTAAAAAAGATTCGATAATTTTTAAGAGAAGCAAGGCGTACAGAAGAGTGCAGGCTAATAACGAAATAACAAATCAAATTGACAGCAATAATAGACCGTCAAACCTAATGGCAAATCGTTAACACACAGACACTCTCACACACAGAGACAAATATGATTAGAAGAAAACAAGCAATATAAAGACTACAACGATGAAGAATAACATTGAATTCTTGAAATACAATTTCTCAGAAACTTATCTCAAACGGAACAAGCATAAGACACTGAAACCCTCTTAGGCCTTCCCTTCCATAACCACAGCAACAACAACAACAACTACAATATCAACAACAAACAAAATTCGTACATTTTATCGTCTTTTTGTCATGGCAATCGAGAGAGAAGCAACGGCGCCATGCATATGCAATACACACACACACACACACACAGTATTACATATGCACAGGCATATATGGCATATTCATAGACACTTCACACAGCTACACACACACACACATGCATACTCACACCCCCTCACTCACACATTGGACATACTAAAACATATATTATCATATGCGCCTGCTCACTGAGTTATGTTAAATGTATGAGGTTTATACGGTATCTTCTAATTAATGTAGAGAAAACAAAGAAAAAAAAAACATTAAAAAAAAAACAAATATACACATATGTATATTTGTACTGGATCTGTGATATGTATTAAAAAAAAAGAAAAAAAAACTTAAAACCAAAAAATAAAAGAGAGAAAACACAAGCAAACAAAAAGCGAATAGCTATTATTATATATATGTATGTATGCGCACATGCATACATATGTGTGTTGCGTATAGATATCGATTTAAACGAAACACGAAATTAATTATGAAATAATTAATTTTTTCTGAAATGACGAAAAGCTTTACTTCAGAAGCAAAACAACTAAAACAAATTTTACAAAAGCAGCGGGCATTTTCTTTCATCAAATATTTGCCACTGGTACGAATCGTTCTCGTTCTTGATCTTGTCGCCAGATCGTAGCCTAATCGAAAACTTGACCCATTATCAATGTTAATATGACCCATCTCTATGCCACGCCCACGCCCTTGCCTTTCGCCATGCCAGATCGACTGAGTGTGTGACGAAAAAGAAGACGAAATACTGAGGTCGGGGTTCCACCAACCCGTCAGACCATGTGACTATGCTTGTTTTTCTTTCTTTTCGCTGTATAATAAAGCCAACTTCAATCGCCCAAAATATTTACAAAGATTCTCAATGCATCTCTTCTTCTTGTTGTAACCCGGATTATTCATAGTTAATCAATGAGAATTCAATTCAACCGGTCTCCATCTTTGAATCATTTCATGACATCAATCAATCAGCCAATCACTCAATCACGCCTGTTCTCCCAGCATCCCCGACACTTTAGTTCAGCCTTAGATCCTTCGGAGAGGCGTTCGCATATTTTATTTTGCGAGTTTTATAAAAGTTATTAACAAATGCTGTTATTTCAGCGACGGAGTCTATTAGAGTTAAACTAGTGCAAATGAAAATTAAGCAAAATAAACTTTTATTAACTATATATATAAATATTTCAATCTTGACTTTAAAACGTTAAAAAACAAAAATAACTAAAAAGAAGAAAAGAAAAAAAAAAACATTTAAAAACGAGAGCGCAAGTAAACGAAATGAAAAAGTAAAATAAATGAACCACAGTTTTTGCTCTGTAAAAAAATATATATATAAAAAAACTTATATGATAAGAGGAAGAGTTACATTTATCAATAAAAATCAGATTTATTTTCGTTTGTATGGTAAACTGAAAACTATACATCCACACATACATACATCTATACGTATATAGTATGTAAATCATAAATGAAATTGTTACTTATCATTTTTGTTATGCTTTGCCTCCACACTGTTATTAGGACAATTAAATATAAATGCATACTAATAATAATAATATGTACACACATACACACACACACACACACGTATATATAAACTATAAACAAACTGACACACAACACACACACACATACCGTTAACAAATGTGCAAATGGAAATACA